TCATCATCATCATCATCATCATCATCATCATCATCATCATCATCATCATCATCCCCACTATCACTTCTGTTCTTCCAGCGAGGCCGACCTCCGCTCTTCCTTCAAAGAGATCGACGCTGACGGCACGGGCTACATCACGATCGACGAGCTGAAGAAGGAGTTCGAGGAACAGAACAAAGACTGCTCCGAGGTGGAGAAAATTCTGGACATTGTGGACACAAACGACGACGGCAAGGTCAACTTTGAGGAATTCCTCGCCGCGTGGAAGGAGAACAAATAAACTACACCACCTTTATGTCTTTTGATTAATTAAATAATAAATTATGAATGTATAGCACTCGTTGACGTTATTTTTTAGCAGTTTAAAAAAATACCAATTATGGTCGCTTTTAAGCGCAAGGGGGCTATCCCGAAAAATGATGTTTTGAGAAAATCGAAGGTAAAGTTTTTGGACCCTTGTTCGGTTTCTTTAAAAGACAAGGAGAGTTTTCTCTATTTCTAAACAAAATTAAATATACACACCAACGAAACCGAACTTCTCCTGTAGGTAGGTAAAGGCCTACTTTTGGTGTAGGTCAAGATTTCTGGAAGCCCCCGTAATCTGAGTCAGCCCGCTTGTCCATAAAAGCGACCAAATCATGTAGATCGAGAGGGATTTGAAACTCATCAAGATTTTTGGCGGTTTTTAAAAAAGTTTTCGGGATTTTGGTGGGGTATGAAACGGGTCACAAAACTCAAGTGAGCCTAACACTAACTGACCATTATGGTTGGTATTCACGGGAGGTTTTTGTTGTTGTTTGTTGTTTTGGGTTTTTGTTGTTGTTGTTGTTGTTGTTTTTGTTTGTTGTTCTTTTTGGTGCCTTTTCAAAATTGACAGAGAACTATAAATGGAACGTTAATCGACGTGCTCCTTGATACAATTATTGCAAGAAAATCTTGCCACATTGTGAAAGATGTTTCCTAGTTATAATAATAATAATAATTATTATTATTATCACGTTTTTTTGTTTGTTTCGGGAATAATCCAGTCAGTATTTGCTCAGTGAGATTTTCATGTTCGTGTTTTTAACCATTTGTAGCCCCGAGTCCGTTTTCTTTTGGACTCGTTTATTATTGCATTTGCCCC